TATATATCCGAAGTTAGTTAACTTTCATTTACTTTAAAAAAAAAAAACTATCGGTCCGATTTTAATGATTTTACTACTGATGAACAACTTTTATTAAGGTCAAAAGAAGGGTTTCTTAATAATAATACCACTTTCGGAGCACTTTTTAAATTTTGGGGAATGGGGGTGGAAATAGCAGTACTCTATATTTAATACTGTAATAAGTTGATAACACAATGTGATATCTGTTTTAAGGATCCACCTTTTTAAAATGTTTGGTATATCAAAAGACAAACCTCTAAAGATTATATATTTCATGAAAATATGACTAAAAAGTTGTTTCGCAAAAATCTACATACTACAGCAAAAATGGGTTAGAAAGATAAATCAAATCTGCCACAACGTATTGCATCAGACTTTCAAATAATTCATTCTCATGACCTTATTCATCGATATTTATATAGTAGAAATATACTACTAGAAAGTTTTAAAGCACATACATTGCAGATTTAGGACTTTCAATAACTGCCAATATTGTATTAAAATCAAACTCTGATATAATTTATGGAATTTTACTATATCGCTCCTGAAATTTTTAACAACCAACCATATGTTAAAGCATTTGATATTTTACTTGGATATAAAAAATCAGTATCTTACAATCAAAAACTTCAAAGAACAGTCATGATCTTATGAACTACTCTGATTAGTTAGTTTGCAACGATTACTGTATGTTTTGATGACGTTCAACTAACTGGTCAATTAAATTGACGTATTACTGTTCTCTGTTACATGGTTATCAAATTGAGAATTTCTATTGGTTAGCTATAAAAAAATTTTCCAACACCATGAAAACAATTATATAAATTTGTGTGGCCTTATTAATAAAAATATATATCAAAAAAAAAAAAGATAAATAAATTATTTTATTTTATGCTAATAATATTTAATTTCAACAGCATTTGCTTGAAATAAAAACTGGTTGATAATCTAATAATGAGGCCTTGCATATAGACTTTGCTTGAACAAAATGGCTATAGGTAATCTATTATAAAATATATCATGTAATTATAAAGGATTGGATTGTTTTATTTGTTGTAAAACAAATGAACTTACTCTTTCATTATCAATATTTTCTCTAATACTAATTAATGCCGCTTCTCTACACAAGCTATCTAAATCGGCACCTTAATTTAAACCAAGATAAATTATTAGACAAAACTTAATTGAAAATATATAATTGAGCTAGTACCTGAAAATCCATCAGTATCTTGAACTAAATAAGATAGTTGATCATTCGTTATATTCGTTGGCATTTTTTGAAGTTTGCCTTTCAAAATGGAACTACGTTGCTAAACGGTAAAGGACAATATTGTGTAATTACAATGATCAACATTATTCATAAGTAAAACAAGAAATGTAAACCTCAGAATTTGGTGGTGGAATATAAATATGTTGATCTAATCTGCCAGGTCTTAAAAGTGCCGAGTCTATGATTTCAGGTCTATTTGTTGCTAAAATTTAGTAAAATCATATTATAAATTGTAATATACAGAATTACATTAAGACTAAATGAAACTGCTAATTAATTGGTTTAAAACCTTGCCTGTAATAACTAAAATATCAACCTCAGGTTCTTTCCTATTTCTTGAAGTAAAGATACCATCCATTTCTAAAGAAAAGGTTCAATCAATAAGTTCAAATAAGAATAAACATATTGGATAGTACCGTAATTTTCGGCAAAATAGTGCACAGTGTCACAGAATATGTGTGCAGGGTTAAGTAAATACCTGTCAAAAAACTTGTAACTATACGATCTTCCGTATTTTCAGATGTTGCACTGGTACCTCTAATTGAAGCCAAAATTTCGATCTAATCATGTAAAACTTTTGAAAGTATATTACATCGAACATAAACAATATTATGAAAGTATTTACTTGATCAATAAACAAAACGCAAGGAGAGTTAGCTTTTGCTTGCGCAAACATCCTAGAAATATTATTCTCTGATTCGCCAACAATCTTTGATCTTATATGTGAGCTCTGAAATATTAAGTACATATACAAAAACTTCAGACAATGTCATATAAAATTGATGTTGATCATTGTTGATATTGATTTATTACTGTTACACAATTACACAAAAAGTAAAAATTTTTAAAAATTTTAATTGAGATATCCAGACAACTTACCTGACTAAATTTTTTTAATGAATTCTATGAATCTATAGATTCAAATAAAAAAATTTTTATCCATTTTGGTCAGGTAGTTGTGGAGATATCTTCACTCAAATTAGAGAAAAATCAAAATGCCTATCAAAATAGAAGCTGCACCAAATTTTTTCAGAACTTTGGTGAAGATATATCTGATCAAAATCATTGAAAATTTTTTTATTTGAATTCTATATATTAATAGAATTTAAATAAAGAAGTTTTCATCGATTTTGGTCGGGTGTTTGTGGAGATATCTTTGTTCAAAGTTTTGAAAATTTTGATGCAGTTTCTATTTTGATAGGCACTTTGATTTTTCTCTAACTTTAAGCAAAGATATCTCCACAACCACCTGACCAAAAACAAAAAAAAAAATTTGAATTCTATATATTTATAGAATTCAAATAAAAAAATTTTCATCGATTTTGATCAGGTGATTGTGAAGATGTCTTCGCTCAAAATTTTGAAAAAATTTTGGCACTTATTTTGATAGGCGTTTTGATTTTTCTAATTTTGAGCAAAGATATCTCTACAAACATTCGACCAAACCCGATGATTTTTTTATTCGAATTCTATAAACCTATAGAATTCCAATAAAAAATTTTTTATCGATTAAGAAACTACCCTAACCCTAACTCAAGGTTTGGTCAAACGGTTGTGGATATATCTTTGCTCAAAGTTAGAGAAAATCAAACCGCCTATCAAAATAAGTGCCAAAATTTTTATCGATTTTGGTCAGGTGGTTATGGAAATATCTCTGATCAAAGTTAGAGAAAATCAAAATGCCTATCAAAATAGATGCTACACCAAATTTTTCAAACCTTTGAACGAAGATATCTCAGCATTCAGCTGACCAAAATCGATGAAAACTTTTTTATTTAAATTTTATTAATATATAGAATTCAATTAAAAAATTTCAATGATTGATAGGCGTTTTGATTTTTCTCTAACTTTGAGCAAAGGTGTCTCCACAACCACCTGACCAAATTGATAAAAGTTTTTTATTTGAATTTTAAGGATTCATAGAATTCAAATAAAAAAAATTTAATCAATTTTGATCAAGTAATTGTCTGGATATCACGATTAAAAATTTTAAATATTTTTACTTTTGCTGGGTACGTGTAGTTGTGTAACGGTAACAGTAACGTTAACGTTAAATCAATATCTACGATGATCAACATGGAAATGGGTCGGTAATATTGGTCAGTTTTACAAACCTCAACAAATATAAAATTTATTCCAGTTTCAGCAGCTATAGCACAACTAAGCATTGTCTTTCCTACACCAGGTGGCCCGTAAACAAGAATCCCACGCGGTGGAGAAATTCCGAATTTGATAAACTCTTGCGGATTATGAAATGGTTCAATTACAGTCAACTGATAAGGTAAAACAACAACAAAAAAAAAAGTCAAAGACGTTATAAACAACTAAAGTGCAGATATAAAAGAAAATTCTTACTTTGAGATCGTCAATGATTTCATCAATACCAAATATATCGGAAAACCGTATATCTGGAATCTGGTCATTTTAAGCATTAAATAACTTTAAAGCAAGTATCTTATTTAATTAATCAGATACCTTTGTCTGAAATTCATTTAAGTTTGATGGCTTGACAACTTTAAGAGCTTCCTCAAAATGTTGGAATCTAGCATGTATATGCGGGTTATCTAGATCCTTATAAAGGATGGTATAAAAACATTGAATAGCCAATTTTAATAATAAGTTCAAATCTTTTCAATTTTATATACCTCACTATCATTATTTATATTACATTCTCTAACCAGCTGCATTGCAACTTGTGTACAAAGATATTGTAGATCGGTAGCAACGAATCCATGTGTCATTCTACTGACTTTTTGCAATATTGAATCTTTTTGTTCGACAAATGGAAGTTCTATCATGCCATGGAAAAGATAATGTATCAGATTTTTTAAGTCAATGAATTAAACCATCTCATACGTACTTTCTGACATTATTTTTAAAATTCCCAATCTCTGCTCCGACTTTTTAATAACAAGTTCATAGATACGATCGAGCCTCCCAGGACGATAAAGATTGCTATTGATCGCATGATGACGATTAGTTGATCCTAATTAAAAAAAATTTTGTTTAGATGTTACAAACATTATATTTAACCATTAAATCTCAAAACAATAATAGTTATAATAGTACGTACCAATAATAAATATCTGGCCTTTGTCTGAATTTTCCCAGACACTTTCATTAATCGAGTCAATTAACTTTATAATTATTGAAAATAACTTTGCTTCTATTCCTTTATAATTTCAATTTCATAAATTAAAAAAATTCATGAATAAAAATTTAAAATTGAAGCACGAAATCCAAACCTGCACGATCACTAGCAGAAGTATCGGCAATAGTATCGATCTCATCCAATATTACAATAGAAGCTCTGTGGCGTAACATTGATTCAAATATTAAACAAATTTCTTTCTCCGCAGCACCCTCATCTGGTATGACAATAAAAGAAGAATATTAATGTATTAAACCATATATTCCATCAGCAATAACTTGATAGATACCAGTTTTGAACATATCTGGGCAATTTATTACTACATAAGGTAATCCTGATGTTTCTTTTGTGAATGGAAAAATTCTGTAAGGCAAAAATACTAAAAGAATCATCTAAGCATAACGTTCAACCATACCAGCAATACACAAAGCAAGTGATGTTTTGCCTGTTCCAGGTTTGCCTGTCAACAATATACCTTTACTTCTTTTTATCCCTCTTCTAAATTTTCCACGTAGTGCAGTCACAACAAAAGTATGAATCTGTTCAATAATTTCTGAAATAACATTATCTAAACCACCGATTTGTCTAACTATTATCTCCAACCATTGAGATCTATCGTGAAACTTTGACTCATAAAATACGGGTTGGTAGATCTTTTGTAAACCATCCATCTTATATCTTATAAATAATACATTTGGATCATTAGCAATTTCAATATTTGTTGTCTCAGAAATTTTTGAAATATGATATACTGAATCAATTGATGAAACGACTACATTTTTTGTTGCCAAAACTGGTGATTTTATGTTATCATCATTTATATAAATTTGCAAGACTTTTAAAAATTCCATCCCATTACACCCTTGATAACAGATCCAGGTATTGGTAGAAACAATCGACCCTAGATGAACTCTTTTAATAATATTCTCATCAATTTTGTTATTCGCTGAATTGTCATCATGAGCGTTCGCAAAATGTTTGGTTATACTGGACAAAATGACGCGAGTTGCGATTGGAATATTATTGACCTGTCCAGACAAAATATATGAGAACTATGAAACAAAATATGAAGTATATAAAAAAGTGCGACATACCACTTCAATAAGATTTAGTCGTATAGAAAATTCCAAATTATCCACCCTATCAAATAAAGAACAAATACCTAGATTACAAGCTAGTGACTTTGAAATCACGGCCTGCGAATCATCCCTGTCAAACTCATGTTTTGCATGTGAAATATCAGAATTTGACAATGCGTTTGGCAATTGAAATTCCAATTTATCGGGGAACGAAGGATTATCTCGAAATAAAACTGAATATTTTGAATACAATTTTACTGAAGCAAAAAATTTTGAACAGTTTTGATCTGATGATTGACATTGATTGTAAGAACGGAGGGACAAAATTTGGTTTGGACGGATACTGTTTTTAAGACACCATGTACGCGGAAGCCATATACATGGCCTTGGTGTTCGCGTATAGTCTGGAGTAAAAATGATAACTTGATTTGATTAATTATAATTAATTATAAATAAGGTAACTATACTATTGATGCTTACGAGACTGTAAATCGTCTACTATTGAAATGACATTTATTATAGTTTGCATTTACTTAAACGATGTTGTATTTACTGATGATCAGGATTTCAGGATTTACCATTACTTATAATTGATAAACACGTGATAGTCCCGACTTTATCATCTTCCCCAGCATCGCCACCAATTTTTTTTCGATCACGTGATCGTACAAAAATCGTTAAGTTCGTTTAGATTAG